ATCAGTGTCGCAGATGGACGATGAAAGTGACAGCTCCCCTGGCAGCCAGAAAAGTCAAATAGCCTCTGACTGTCTGTCTATATGTGCGGTGTGTCTTTGGCATTGAATGTTTGCCATATATGTGTATATTGCACCAGGATAGTGGTGCAGCTGGCTGAGTGTCAGCTGCATTAAGATCACTCTGACCAAAAAGTCATGAGTTCAAAGCCAGCCCGGGTTGGAGTGGGTTTCCAACCAATTGTGTAGCCTGTTGTCGACCTTTGCAACCCAAAAGACAGTTGCATCTGTCAAGTAGGAAAATTAGGTACCACTTTAAAGTGTGGGGAGGCTAAATTAACTAATTTATGAGGCCATAAAAAAAGACTCCAGCAAGCACTTCAGCAAAACATACGGGGAATGCGGAAGTACTTCATCAGTGTCGCAGATGGACGATGAAAGTGACAGCTCCCCTGACGGCCAGAAAAAGTTAAATAGCCTCTGTCTATGTCTGTATATGTTGTATGTCAAAATTGGCATTGAATGTTTGCCATATATGTGTACACTTTAATCCGCCCTGAGTCCCCTGCAGGGTGAGAAGGACAGAATATAAATACTGTAAATAAATAAATAAATAAATAAATAAATAATATCGTTATCTTTTGGCAGATGTTGAGCATAGAAATACATTGGAGGACCTTGAGATTTATAGAGAGGTGTTTTTAAATTTTTTTTACCATTGGGGAATGTGTGTCCTGCACCCCTAATCTCAGCAAATGTGGAGGACTGACTATAGTTTGCATTTGGATAACTCAGCAACAAAATGGGCAGAAGCTTGCCCTTCCAAATAGATTAAAATTAAAACAAACTGCCACAAAGTAGTTGGTGTAATAAAAGTGCAGACATTTGTAAGATTCCTTGACAATTGGAGTTAAACTTTGTTGTGTGCAGCGCAGAGACATAGTTCTCTTTTCTTGCACAAATAGACAACTTTAAAGTTCTTTGTTCTGCTGAGTTGCAGCACTTAATCTAAAATAGGACCATTCAGCTAAAAAAGATAACATTTGAGGAAGAGAAACTAATTCTACCCAAATGGTATATGACACGAGACTATCATGCTTTTTTTTTTTTGTTTTGCAACTGACTGGTTGGATGTGTCTTTGTATGACGTCCAAAGCCTCTCGTGTTGGCAATGGTCAAAACAAATACAAAGGAGGATTGGAACATGTGACTCTTAACAACTTTCCCATGATGTCCCCCTGGAAATCATTGCCTATGAAGAAGGCAGTGAGCTTTGAAAATCAGTATAAATCTGGTTGACCTAATAAAAGTATCATCAATGTGGATTTTGGATTTTGTTTAATTGTCAGAATGGGTGCATTTGAATGAATACATTTCGATACTACGTTAAATACCATGGCTTAATGGAATTCTGGGATTTTTAGTTGGGTGAGGCCCCGGCATTCTTTGGCAGAGAAGGCTAAAGGATAACTCTCATGATTCCATAGTATTGAACTATAGCCGTTAAAGTAATGTCAAACTGCATTACCCATTTTTAACCCTATAAATCCGTTCCTTTGTACATGGTTCAGATCCTGTCTGATTTTGGAAGCTAAGCTGGGTCAGCTCTAGTTAAAGTTGGATGGGAGACTACCAATGAATCTCAAGTGGCATAGCCTACACCCACCGCCTAGCCATTACTGGGGTTAGGGGGGGTACCCCTTAAATGGGTGTCTTCCATCCTCAAGAATCGGGGACAGCGTGTGGTGAGGGGAGGGATGGTTTCCAAGAGATCTCCACTAACTTGCAGGGTCCCACAGGTAGCCATTCTCTCTCCTCTATTATTTAACATCTATATGCGACCGCTCGCCCGACTGGTGCAGAGCTTTGGGCTTGAGTGCCACCAGTACGCTGATGACACTCAGCTCATTCTGAGGATGGAGGGCCAGCTGGACTCTGTACCCGAAAATTTCCATCAGTGCCTTGAGGCCGTTACTGGATGGTTGCGTGCCAGCAGGTTGAGGGTGAACCCAGCGAAGACGGAGATCCTTTGGCTGGGCTGTCCGGGTGGGAGGGAGATCCAGCTGCCTACCCTGAATGGCGAGACACTACGTCCGTCACCTTCCGTAAAAAGCCTTGGTGTCTTATTGGACCCTCTGCTCACAATGGAGGCCCAGGTCTCTGCTGTGAGCAGATCTGTGTTTTTCCATCTGCGTCAGGCTAGGCGACTGGCTCCCTACCTATCTAGGAACGACCTGGCTACGGTGATCCAGGCGACGTCATCTCGAGGCTTGACTACTGTAATGCCCTCTACATTGGCCTTCCTTTGTCAGTGATCCGGAAACTGAAGCTGGTGCAAAATGCGGCGGCTCGTTTTCTCGCCGGGGTGCCAGTGAGGTGTTGTATCACCCCAAATCTACAACAGCTGCACTGGCTACCGATTGAGTACTTTCAAGGTGTTGGTATTAACCTTTAGGGCCTTATATGGTTTGGGGCCAGCGTAACTGAGGACCCGCTTATCCCCCTACCAACCCCAGAGATTACTTCGGTCTGAAGAACAAAATTTGCTTGAAATCCCCAACATCTGGACTTATCATCTGTCCTCTACTAGGCAGAGAGCCTTCTCAATCGTGGCTCCTTATTTATGGAATGCCTTGCCAATTGAAACCCGAACCATCCGAGAGCTACTTGCTTTTCGGAAAGCCTGTAAAACCTTTCTGTTCCGACAAGCTTTCGATGGGTGAATAACTCGGGACTATGTCTGTTCTTGTTTTTATTGTATTTTAAAGTTAATTGTATTGTTTTAATCTACTGCTGTAAACCGCTCCGAGCCAAATTGGGAGTGGCGGTATACAAGTCAAATAAATAAATAAAAATAAATGGGGCGACTGGCAAAACCAACAAGCATGTGGACAATTTCAACAGAAAGGAAGAAACCATGAAAATGAACAAAATCTGGCTACCAGTATTAAAAAAACTCTAAAATTATAACAGTAAATAAAAAAACAACACTCAAAAACAGACAAGAAAGAATCAGGGGCAGCTAATCACCTCTTAAGAAAGGATTCCACCAGACAGTAACAAGCCACACCAAAAAACTGTCGGGCCATCAAATGCTAATCAAGGTGGCCAATAGAACTATTCACACTTGCCTCCAACAGACAAGAGTTCTTTCTCCCACCCTGGACCTTTCACAGATAAACCCAATTTTCCTAGTTTCCAACAGACCTCACAACCTCTGAAGATGCCTGCCATAAATGCAGGCAAAATGTCAGGAGAGAATGCTTCTGGAACATGGCCTTATAGCCTGAAAAACCTAGAACAACCTAAGTCAGTATTCCTTACAAAGAAAACTGCATAACATTAATGCGGATGCCATAAAACAACTGGTGACTTTGAAGGCACATACGCCTGACAAAAGTAATAGGTAGCATTTTACAAGACAGTAGGTTTACAAGTTTAATTTTGCCCTCTAGTGGTGAAATTACAGGAATGCATGCAAAGTGAAATTCAAAGGGTTTTATTACTAGTGTGTGAGATTGCTCGTTTGTTTATACAAAGATCTGATTTCTGTGCCAGGTCAGTAGAGTGCTACTGCACATATTGCTTACCTAAGATATACATTTAGTTCCTATTCTATCATACATCTGTTTCTTCAGTTTCATTTGAAATTGAACCTAAAGTTCCAGATGAGGTGCTGTTGGCATGAAAAATGGGTTGAGGGTGCTAACAAAAGGTTTTTCAGAAAACTTTCTCTTGAGCCTCCCTTTTTCCCTTTGGGTGTAAGACTTTTTCCAAGTGACGTCATGCGCCAGCAAGGAGAACACAAGCTAATTTAGAGCAAAGTCACTTCTGAGCTTTCATTGAGATGATAGAGCGGGCTGTACTGGGCCAATTGCAACAATTTTTGGATGAGACAGCCGGCCTGGACCCTTTCCAGTCATGTTTCTGCCCTAGCCATGGGACGGAGACAGTCCCGGTTGCCATTACAGATGAACTTCGTCGCCAGTCTGATAGCGGCGGATCAGCGCTATTGGTACGTGCTAGTAGACTGAAGGTGAACCCGGCGAAGACTGAGATTCTCTGGCATAGACGCTCGATTGGTCTGACCCATTTGCTACCCACCTTCAATGGTGCTGCCCTATCTCCTTCGCCTACCGTTAAAAGCTTGGGTGTTGTTTTGGTTTCGCAGCTGACAATGGAAGCTCGGGTCGCTGCTGCCAGCAAACAGGTCTTTTTCCATCTACGACAAGTGAGGCAACTGGCACCCTACCTATCTGATGAGGCTCTGACAACAATAATCCATGTCACGGTCACATCTAGGCTGGACTATTGCAACGCCCTGTATGTTGGCCTTCCAATGACCCGAAAGCTTCGTATTATTCAGAATGCGGCAGCCAGGTTACTCACAAGAATGCCCATGAAATGCCATATAACACCAGTGCTGCAACATTTACATTGGTTTCCAACTGATTACCGTGGTCTATATAAGATGCTAGTTCTGACTTTTAAAATTATTTACGGTCAGGGTCCATCGTATCTTAGGGACCGTCTCTCATTCTCCCATCATCAGAGGTCGAAACGACCATCCCAACGTGACTTACTCCATATGCCGGGTCCTAGAGAAGTGCACTTGGAAAGGACCAGACGCAGAGCTTTTTCTATTTCTGCCCTTGCCTTATGGAATTCCTTGCCGCCCTATATGAGAGCCATGCGTGACTTAGGGCCTTTTACCCTAGCACTTAAGACCTGGCTTTTTACTAGAGCTTTTGATCTATGTTAATTTTATCAATATCTGTATGTATGTATTTTTATCCTTTACAATTTAGCTTGTAAATCGCCTAGAGCATCTTGGATGGAGGGCGATTAATAAGTAATTAAATGATGATGATGATGATGATGATGATGATGAGAAACATTTAGATAACAAAGGAACCCAAATGGATGAGGGGTTTTTTTTTTTTTTTTGGAGAATTAAGGACAAGAAAAGAAATATTGATGGCAATCTGTTTCTTTCATTCCAGGAATGGCAAAAACTGAACTATGACATCTACACTCTAAGACAACTGCGAAGGGAAGTAAGAAACAGGTGGAAACGCATTTTGGAAGACTTGGGTAAGTCTGTTTTCAGGTTACAGGAATGCATTTTTAAAAGAGAGTGAGAGAGAAAGATAGAGAGAGAGAACGGACACACAGAAAGAGACAGTATGATGTAGTAGATTTGAGTATTGGGCAACTTCTCTGTTTAAATCCCTGCTTAGCCATAGAAACCTACTGGGCAACTTTGGGCAAATTTCAGTCTCACAGCCACAGAGGAAGGCAAAGGCAACCCCCTTCTAAACAAATCTTGCCAAGAAAACTCTATGATAGGTTCACTTTACAGTTGTCATAAACCAGTAACGTTTTGAAGACACATAACAACAACATCTATATAAATAAAAATGTAATATTTGTTTGTGGCATTAACATAACTCAGAAACCACTGGATGAATTGACACCAAATTTGGGCACAATACACCTATCAGGCCAACAAGTGACCATCACTCATAAAAACACTGAAAAACAGTGGAAGGGACTTTAAAAGGCCAAAAAAGTAAAATGATGCTACAGCGCATGCGCTAAAATGAATCTTGAAATGTTTTAGTTTTGTTCTCATTAGAGTATTAGTAAAAGTTGAAAAATAGTGGGGGTTTTTTTGGGGGGGGGGTAAAATTGAATTCAGGAGTTACGGTGTTTTGTGTTTTTTATCATTAGTGTGTAATAACTAATAAGTTTATCAAATAATTGTGTGTTTTTAAATGTAAAATTGAATTCACAATAAAATTCATTCTTGTAAAGAGCACATTACATTTACCAGGAAATAGTTTTTGGGGTTTCAAGGATTTGAACGTTAGTGTGAACATTAGAATCGATCACGCATTAAATTTGTATAAAGGCAGGTATTGCTCCCAGCTGATTTGTGTTCTCCATATTACTTCATGTTTTGTCCCATTGCTTTCTATCAAGAGCCCTGATGTGTTTCTTTGAGTTCTGGTTTTGAGCTACCTTTACTCCATTGTCAGCACTATGTGCCACAACTGATCTCCAAGAGTATGGAAATGGAGCATTTGCTAAAATGAGACTTACAATCCTCCTGTTTTAGGTTTCCAGAAGGAGGCAGATACACTGTTGTCCGTGACCAAACGCAGCATTGTTAGTGACTCTCATAATATGAGCAAAGCCCGCGAAATCCTCTTGAAGCTGTCGGAGGAGACAACTATTTTCCCAACAAGCTGGGAGCTTTCCGAGAGATACCTTTTTGTGGTGGTAAGTCTCTGCCTCCTCCTTTCTGTATTTCCTTTCATACTCTCATTCTTGAAGACCCTCAGACATAACTGCTAAAATTAAGTGTTACAGGAACAAAAATATACACAAACTAGGAAATACACCTATCAATAGCTCTGTCATTGTTTAGTTCCCTTAAGTGTGATCAGTTTTTCCTAAACTCTGATTTTCCAAGTGTTTTAGACTTTAGTACCCAGAATCCCCGATCGTTGATCAAAGCAGCTGAGACTTCTTTGGAGTTGAAGTTCAAAACTAGAGTTTGGGAACCAAATTATATCAATACATTAAATTAGAAATTGGTTACTTAAGTCACATTTAATAAGACTTGAATTGGCCTCTAATAGTCCCTGCCTAACTGCATTTTTAAAAAAAATACCATCTGGCAGATGGTATAGGGTGACAAAGACAAGGACAAACAGACTGAGAGATAGCTTTTATTGTAGAGCTGTAACTATATTGAACTCAATGGTTTTGCATTGATGTGACATTGGGGGCTGTGTGGTGGTGGTTGGAGTGTGGAGGAACATGTGTGTTGTTTTTGTGATGTGTGCTGGGGAAAGCGGCCCAGAAATTCCAACTGGTCCAACGGCGGCGGCCAGGTTGTTAACTGGTGCTCCTTACAGGAAGAGGTCAATCCTCCTGTTTAAGGAGCTCCATTGGCTGGCGTTCATTTTCCGGGCCCATTCAAGGTGCAGGTACTCACCTACAAAGGCCTAAATGGTTTGGGACCCACCTACCTGCATGACCGCATCTCCGTATATGCACCCACACGATCTCTCCAATCATCTGGAGAGGCCCTGCTCACGATCCCTCCTGCGTCGCAAGCGTGATTGGTGGGGACGAGGGACAGGGCCTTCTCCGTGGTGGCCCCCCGACTCTGGAACTCTCTCCCCAAGGACATCAGACAAGCCCCAGCATTGGCAGTCTTTAGGAAGAGCTTGAAGATGTGGTTGTTCCAGTGTGCCTTCCCAGGAAACTCCTAGCATCATGTCCCAAATGCACTTGACTAGAGATTTAAGATTGTCTGCACACCGCACCTATCTCCAAAAACCTATCCATCTCACCTGTCATGCTCAGCATTTTTAAAATTTTAATCATTACATTTGGCCCGGCCTTAGTTTTAAATGCGTCGTGGTGTTATTGTCTAATGTTTATTTCTATTGTTTTAATGTTTATTGCTTGTTTTATGAGTTTATTTATTGTTGTATTTGTTATGCTGTTGTTTTATTGATGTGTTGGGCCTCGGCCTCTTGTAAGCCGCACCGAGTCCTTTGGGAGATGTTAGCGGGGTATAAATAAAGGATTATTATTACTACTACTACTACTACTACTACTACAATATTGTTTCTTCTGCAGGACCGTCTCATTGCCCTTGATGCTGCTGATGAGTTCTTCCGCATTGCCAGCGTAACCTATCCAAAGAGACTTCACACGGCAAAAGATGAAGACCAATTGAAAACAGACCAGTGCAATTCCTCCCTGTCGTAACACTGCATCCCTTGTGCTGGAAGTGGCTGTTGTTTTTTTGGAGGGCTAAGCCAGAGCGGTGGGACTTCTCCCTTCAAAGAAGCACAGCAGGCCATCAGGGCAAAGTATCCACTGCCCGGCAAGTGGCACGATGCCACAGAGACTTGTGGTCTGTGATAAAGACATTCAGACACCTTCGTAAGCATTGGTGCTAGTCTAGATGTTGGTGGTAGGCTTCTTGCTACTGCAAAGATACAAAGAGTATTCTGGTGGTGGTAGAAGAAACCTCCCACACAAAGTCTTGATTCTTGTGTATGAAATGGTTTTCACTTCACCGACTGAGTACAATGATTTGTATTCCCTATAAGCAGCAATTCCGTCCTTCCACTGTCAGTGTTCTTGTTTAAGCGAAATCCTAATAGAGGATGAAAGCTGCCATTTTGTCAAGCCCTCCTTGCCTCTGAGTACATTTTTGTTGTGCCAGCAAAACCTATCTATGCCCACCTATTCAATGAGACATTAATTGTCTGGCAGCTGTGGGTGACTTGTATCCCTGTGACAAGACCAATGGCATTGACAGTGGAAATGAGTTTCCGGTAGCAGAAGTGTCTCCATGTGTCTTTTTAGTAAGCGACGAAGCAGGAAATCAAATCCTGTGCTTTCCAGGCATTTATTTTTTGCCTCAAAATATTTTTAAACCAACTTCTGTTACATCTGCTTCAGCTTTGCCTGCCTAGTACGGGTCCATCGTTACACTGTGAGTGATTTATGTGTAATTTGCAGGTTTCACTTTTGTGAATTTGATTATTCATGGATTTGATTAATACGAGATTTCTTCTGGCCCAAAATGATTAGTGAAAATAGTAAACAATTGGTAGCCTTTTTGTATAGTTGTACTATGTTGCCATCATGAAATACAAAGGGTATTTTTTAAGTAAGGTCCGTTTTGTTGTAGACACTAGTAGTTCGCGCGCATACCACAACGAGCGCGTGCGTCGTGTACCGGCATGCCTCGGGAACAACTGTGCTCAGTTTCCGCTCTGTAGCTAACCTGTACGGTTCTGTTCTGTGCTTTAAAAATGTTTAAGACTATCAACTCACCCTCCGCATGTGAGGTTCGCTCAGTGATACGGTTTTTGTCAGCAAGGAACCTGCCTGCTGCAGAAATTCATCGACAGATTTGTGAAGTGTACGGTGATACTCTTATGAGTGAAAGCAAAGTGCGTAAGTGGGTACGACAATTCAAAGATGGCCGTGACAACGTCCATGATGACGACGACTTGAAAACGGCAGTGAACTCTTGGTTATGGAGCAGGTGGCAAGTTTTTATGAAGAGGGTATTTTAAAATTGGTTCAGAGGTATGATAAGTGTTTGAACAAACTTGGCAACTATGTCGAAAAATAGAGTGAAGTATGTACTTTCTGAAAATAAATTTACTTTTTTGAAATAAACTTTCGTTGTGTACTTATGTTCCAACGGACCTTACTTAAAAAATACCCCTCGTATATTACTTCGAAATAGGGCCCATCATATTGAAACATGCTATATATTCTCTTTAGGAATTTTGTAAGTCCTCTGGTGCAACTCTACGTCGAATTCCACCTAACGTTGAACATAGGGTTGCATGGAGGACCTAGCAATTTCTACACTAAGTAAAAAATAAAAAGATTTTTATCTGTGGTCTTTCCATATTTGCACTCTACCCTAGCAAATGTAGAGGGGCAACTGTATTTCTTTTAAGATATTGTGCTGGAAAAGCAAATCTGAGCATTCCTTGATGGGGAATTTCTTGTTTGTAAATTGACAGCTGATTCCAGGGGCTTCCTGTGCTCCATTTGCTATTTTGGTGACCAGCTGAACTTGGGCATTCCAGCTTCTCCTTGCCGTAACTGAGAGGCGCAAAATCGTTCTATTTTTAAACCCTCTTTAATGTTTGAACAAATGTGTATTTACTTTATGGAAATCTGTGTTATGTTTCAAAAGTGAATGATAGCAAAATCTATATTTGCTGTTTTTAGATTCGGAAACAAGCATTCATTTTAAACTACAGATGTGGTGAAGGCTCACAACTTTGGAAAATAAAAAAGCTGTTGGACTCTCCAGATGGCGTTCAGTTTTGTGGATACAACCCAGCAAACCAAGCAGCAAGATAAATTTTAAGCGTTTAGACCAGGATTGGGAATCATGCATTGTTGATGGATTCCTAGGCCCAGCAGGGTAGGAATGATGGGAGCTGCAATTCAGCAACCTCTGAAGAGTCACATGATCCTTGCCTCTGATTTATAACAATTATATTCATGTAACCGTTGCAGTCTGAGTGTTGTCAGGTTTCCTATAAAATGTATCCATTACTTATATACATTGGTATAATTAATTTAATAAATAAATAAATAAATCTGACTACTCTTTCATTTTTTTTACAGTGTATGCACTTATAGAATCATAGAATCATAGAGACGTCATAGGCCATCCAGTCCAACCCCCTGTCAAGAAGCAGGAAAATCTAAATCTAAAGAAATGGAGTAAAATTTTTGAGGGAGGCAGTGAATGACTGGTAAAGGCACTCTGCAGACAGTGCTGGACTTACTATTCAGATATGGAATAATTTCTGTTTTCATAGAATCAGAGTTGGAGGACACCTCATGGGCCATCCAGTCCAACCCCCTGCCAAGAAGCATTCAAAGCACCCCTGACAGATGGCTATCCAGCCTCTGTTTAAAAGCTTCCAAAGAAGGAGCCTCCATTACACTCCAGGGCAGAGAGTTCCACTGCTGAACAGCTCTCACAGTCAGGAAGTTCTTCCTCATGTTCAGATGGAATCTTTTTTCCTGTAGTTTGAAGCCATTGTTCCGCGTCCTAGTCTCCAGGGGAGCAGAACAAGCTTGCTCCCTCCTTCCTATGACTTCCTATGGCTTCCTCTCACATATTTATACATGGCTATCATGTCTCCTCTCAGCCTTCTCTTCTTCAGGCTAAACATGCCCAGCTCCTTAAGCCGCTCCTTATAGGGCTTGTTCTCCAGACCCTTGAGTTCAGGATAGATGTCAGAGCAAACAAGTTGAATTGAATTAGCCTACATGTAAGTAGAATGAATGAGCACCAGGTGGCGATGTTGCCTCATTTACTAATGTTATACCTTACTCTCAATTTTGTACAATTACACTATGTAACATAAGTGCCTTGGACTGCGAGAAGATCCAACCAGTCCATCCTCCAGGAAATAAAGCCCGACTGCTCATTGGAGGGAAGGATACTAGAGACAAAGTTGAAGTACTTTGGCCACATCATGAGGAGACAGGAAAGCCTAGAGAAGACAATTATTCTGGGGAAAGTGGAAGGCAAAAGGAAGAGGGGCCGACCAAGGGCAAGATGGATGGATGGCATCCTTGAAGTGACTGGACTGAACTTGAAGGAGCTGGGGGTGGTGACGGCCGACGGAGCTCTGGCGTGGGCTGGTCCATGAGGTCACGAAGAGTCGGAGACGACTGAACGAATGAACAACAACAACATAATTTTTGTTCCTGGATTATAAATGTTATTTCCTAACTAGTTCTGTCCCAAAAACATAGACAAAGTTTATTAAACTGCAAAAGCTTTGTTTTTGCACAATATTCTGCAACACGTTTTGCTGTAGGTTTTCAATGAATTTCTCACCCAGTCTCAACCAATAATAATAATAATAATAATAATAATAATAATAATAATAATAATAATAATCTTTATTTATACCCTGACACCATCTCCCCAATGGGGACTCGGGGTGGCTTACATGAGGCCAAGCCCGGACAACATATACAGCAAGGTAAAACCAAAACATAAGCAACAAGCAACAGCATCAAAATTACATTAAAAACATATAAATACAGTAACAATATAACATTACAATAAACACAATCACGGTGACAGTGGGTGGTTCACATGTATAAGATAAAATGTTAAAAATGTTAAAAAAAACCCCTCAAATGAGATAAGAAGAGGAGCAAGTTATTCAACAATTCAACATAGTTTGTGACAGCGACAAAAATGAAGTTTCTGGAGTAGAACAACTACTTTCAAAGTAAGCACCACACAATTACACAGGAAATTACATATAAAAACCAGGAATAGAAAAGCTTTCAACTGTTGTTACATAGTGTATAGACATTTCCATCACCTGTATTCACTTCTGCATACATGTGCAGGAATTTAATTGTAGATTTACTAGCTTTCTGATTTGCTTTAAATCTTTACCAATGTTTTACAGCCATGAAAAAGGTTTCCTTGTTCATGTTGGACATCAATTGGAAGAAGCTGAAAAAAAGACAGTCAATATCTATCAGTTGGGCCAATGCATCTGAAAATTTTTAAAAAATGAATCTGAAAAGGTACAGAAAAAGGGCAACCAAAATAGTCTGGAGGAAGAATTCCTCCTTGGTGCTGGGGTCATTTAGAATGAAATGCAAAGAAGGAAGGAAGTGGGAGATCCTGTATAACCCATAATCCTCGCAACAACCCTATAAAGCAGGTCTACATTATTATTATTATTATTATTATTATTATTATTATTATTATTATTATTAAACAAGGGGAGCTAAAACAGAGAGAGTAGCAGAGGAGGGCAACTAAAATGATCAGGGGTCTGGAGAACAAGCCCTATGAGGAGCAGCTTAAAGAGCTGGGCATGTTTAGCCTGAAGAAGAGAAGGCTGAGAGGAGACGTGATAGCCATGTATAAATATGTGAGAGGAAGTCATAGGGAGGTGGAAGAAAGCTTGTTTTCTGCTTCCTTGGAGACTAGGATGCGGAGCAATTGCTTCAAACTACAAGAAAGGAGATTCCATCTGAACATGAGGAAGAACTTCCTGACTGTGAGAGTCGTTCAGCAGTGGAACTCTCTGCCCCGGAGTGTGATGGAGGCTCCTTCTTTGGAGGTTTTTAAACAGAGGCTGGATGGCCATCTGTCGGGGGTGCTTTGAATGCAATTTTCCTGCTTCTTGGCAGGGGGTTGGACTGGATGGCCCACGAGGTCCCTTCCAACTCTAGGATTCTAAGACGCTATGAGATCCCTTTTCATACTAAGGTGGTAAATGTCTGCCATGACTTGTTTCAGAGAAATCCTTTTCAAAGCTGGGGATAACATTTGATCTCCCCCACTGTGCTGGAACTAATCCTGTTCCCCATGAAATCTCACAGATTACTGGCTGAGACTCTGAAATGTCTGCACATATGTTGAGTTTCCCTGGATGCATGGTATCTGACTCTGGAAACTTAAATTCATTTAGGGCAGCTAAATATTTGTATACTACTTCTTTATCTACTCTGGGTTGTACTCCCTTTAAGGCATCATTTGTTTTGTTTTCACATGGTAGAATCATAGAATCAAACAGTTGGAAGAGACCTCATGGGCAATCCAGTCCAACCCCCTGCCAAGAAGCTGGAATATTGCATTCAAACGACCCCTGGCAGATGGCCATCCAGCCTCTGTTTAAAAGCTTCCAAAGAAGGAGCCTCCACCACACTCCAGGGCAGAGAGTTCCACTGCTGAACGGCTCTCACAGTCAGGAAGTTCTTCCTCACCTTCAGATAGAATCTCCTCTCTTGTAGTTTGAAGCCATTGTTCCATTGCGTCCTAGTCTTCAGGGAAGCAGAAAACAAGCTTGCTTCCTCCTTCCTGTGGCTTCCTCTCACATATTTATACATGGCTATCATATCTCCTCTCAGCCTTCTTTTCTTCACATTATTTTCTTTCTGGGGGAATAATGAGGCACACTGTCTTGGTATTTCACCATCTTCTCTATCAGTGGTCCTGCTGTTTCCTTATTCAGAACCTTATTTTTCCCTTTGCTCTGAACACAGCCTGAAATATCGTCTTTATTATTTTAACCTCTCCAGCAAGCCTGAGCTTTAGCTTTTATTTTAACTTCTCTAGCAAGCCTCAGCTTCAGTTTTTCTTTTTTCCTATAAGTATAGAACATTTACTTGCACTCCTCTTTCTTGATTTCCCACTCCTTCCAGTTTTTAAACCTGGCTCTTTTAAACGTCCATCTCATCTGAGAGTTCACTATACACTCATTCTGATTTCTTTAAATTCCGTTCATTTTCCCCCCTCATTGGAATTGCTTGCAGTTTTGCCTTGAACTTTTTGCCTTTCCATCCCATCCTTTCCCTTAAATATTTCCTTATGCTTACTTAAATCAGTTTTCTTAAAGTTTGGGGTGTATGTACTATAAATTTGGTTTCCTCTTTCCCTCAAAAGGACGTGACCTATCCCACCCAACATCCCCATGACTTTTATTCTGTTGGTCAGTTCTTCCCTGTTGTTTAGGGTCAGGTCTAACATAGTTTGTTGCTTTGTTGCCTTTTGCACTTTCTGGACCATTAAATTTTCAGCAAATGAGGGAAGTGAGAAATGTGTTAAAGATAACATTCTCAGCAGAGTTCTCTCTGAATATTTAAGGAGGCACCATCCAAGTCTTCACTGTGACTTGGGGAGAATATGGTAGATGCAATACTATAACATCACAGCATTCTTCTTCACTTCACTTCACTTTATTTCTTAATTAGTCGCTCTCCACCAAGGTGCTCCGAGCGACTTACAATCTAAAGTAGCATTTACACAATATAAAAACATCCAACATAAAAACATTCAGCAGTGACTATTTGGCAAATTAGATCTGATTACTTAAATGCACAACCAAACAGCCAAGTCTTGAGTGCCTTTACAAAAGGTCACAACTCCAACATTGCTCTAATGTATGGAGGCAATGAGTTCCACAGAATTGGAGCATAGGTCGAAAAAGCTCTACGCCTTGTAGCTTCCAGGTGTACCTCCCTAGGGCCAGGTATGTATAGGAGATTTTCCTGGGTGGATCGAGGTGACCACTGATGGAGAAAAGGAATGAGGCGGTCCCTAAGATATAAAGGTCCTTGGCCATTTTGAGCTCTAAATGCCAGGATCAGTATCTTGTAAGAGATCCGATGTTCGATTGGTACCCAATGCAGTTGTTGCAGAATCGGTGTAATATGGGATCTTATAGATGATCCCGCTAGCAGCCTGGCCACTACATTTTGGACCATCCGAATCTTCTGGGTTGTTGACTTCGGAAGGCCGGCATATAAGGCATTGCAATAGTTCCACCTCGTGGTGACTGTTGCGTGGATTACCGTTGCCAATGCTTCTACCGAAAGGTAGGATGCCAATTTCCTTGCCTGGCGAAGATGGAAAAAGGCCTGCTTACTTATGGCAGTGATCTGGGCCTCCATCGTCAGCTATGAATCCAACACAACCCCAAGGCTTTTAACAGTGGCAGACGGAACCAGAGCTTCCCCACTGAAATCAGGCAGAGACTGGATTAATTCTGGTGGCTGTCCAGGCCAGAGTATCTCAGTTTTTGCAGGATTCACTTTTAGTCTGCTCGCTCG